CAAGGGCACAGCTTCAGCCAGTGAGAAGGCGGAGCAGCAGCTGGGTGCGGCCACAGTTCCACTGGGAACAGGAAGGTTCCTGAGCCTCCATGGCCTATGGCTCTAGCTGGGCCTCGCTGGGGCTCCTCCTGATTCATTGGGAGCCCATCAGGTGGCAGCCGCTCAGAGACAGAGGCAGGTCCCAGGCAGGTCCTGCTGCAGCTGTGACCAAGTCTGCCTGTCCTTCAAGCTGAGCCCCAGGGCAGGTGAGGGTGGTGGGTGGGGCCCCAAGGCAGATGTGTGTGCTTGGTGGGGGCAGACCCTGACCCCATCAGGTGGATGGGCATGGCCGGTGATGAGGACCCTCACTTCCCACCGACGCCTTCCAGCTGGTGCGAGATGTTATAACAGAAAGTGTCCCTTGGCCGGGGAGTGCCCCTGGCCGAGGTTCCCGCCCATCCGTGCTGTGGCGCTGGGTGTTTACGGTCAGGACAGATGTTGAGATAGTCCAAGCATGGAGTGCCCTTGCTGACCAGGAAGGCCTAGACAGAAAAGCTCGTTTTTATCCTGAGAGCAGCATGAGAAACGCAGCAGATGCTGTCCTGCGTGGGCTTCCGTGGTCACACCACTGTTCCTTTCTCGGCAGGTGCGTTCATCCCGGGAGCACCCGTCCAGCCTGTGGTTTTACGATATCCAAATAAACTGGTGAGTTGTGTTTTCCTGGGGTCAGCTTCCAGGGAATTCTCTGGGAGTGGGAACTGCGAGCTGCTTCTGTGCACCTGTGTCTCCACCTCTCCACACCCTTTATCTGCGCCGCGGCCCACGTTCGGCTGTGCTGAGTCCATCTGGCCTCAGCGCTGGAGAGGGCAGGACAGGCCTGGGCCCTGGGCTCAGTGCGCCGTGTTCCCGAGTGCGGCCTTTTCTACACACGTGTCCCTGATCAACCCCGTGATTCCACAGTGGTCCCCAGTATCCCAGAGCCCTGCTTCCCTAGGTCCTGAAGCAGCTGCCCTTTCCTCTGTGTGGCCAAACCTGACATTTTGGAGAGGGAACCCCCCAACCCCACGTCATCAGCCAGGGTCCCCGGCAGCTTTCAGTACCCAGTTCATGCTCCAGAAAGTTTAAAAATTAAGAACATTTCAGTTCTGGAAGGCAGAGGCAGCTGGAGAGAAAGGAGGTGACTGTGTCATTTCTGTGGTTTTATCATTTAGTGCCCAGGTTTTGTGTTGGTTTAAGAGAACAAAAGTAAGAAGGCGTTTGGGGTCCAGAGCTCCTGGGGTGAAGGTGGTGGACCCCCCCTTTGGGGAGAAAGCCTGGATGAGGCCTCAGAGCAGTTCCTCATGGGGACTTGCTGCCTCTGGAGGAGGCTCAGCCTGCTCTGGCTCTGCCCTGGTCCACCCTACCCCA